ATAGTCTTGTCCATGTTTTGACCCACCACTGTCCCGCCAGACCGCATAAAAGCGCTCCGGCACTCCACTTGTTGTCATAGTCAATGTGTTTATAGTCTTGTGCATGTTTTGATATTTTTGTTTTGGTTATCGCCGCATTAGTTATGGAAATTATATTGTTTTAATCGGCGTGTTGTATTTTATTACTTTTAGTAATAAATTGTTTAGATTTTGTGATTATAATATATGTATAATTTTTGTTTCATTAAAGGTTTTTTGTATTTTGGCCGTTTTGTTTAAAATTCTGTTTTTGAGATGATATAGCACATGTCTATGATGCTGTTTACCAAAAATATGTATTTATTATCATTATAAAATATAAAACATTATTATTTTATTTTATTTAAATAATCCATTTAAAATTATATTATTTAAAATAATATAATAAATATATATCCTGTATTATTATTGATGAAGTTTTATATTAAATTTAAGTGGAAAACTAAGTTAGCAATTTTTTGAGTTTATGTTAATGTCTTTCTTTGATTATAATTACATTTGTATGTTAATGTGTTTGTTATTCTTAAAGCTGTGTTCAGATTTGTTATAGAAAAAAACATTAATTGAAGTTTTATTTGTGTACATGAAATCGATTAGTTTTTAAAATGGGTAAGAAATTGTTTTTCATCACAACGATACAAAATAAATAAATTACCAAAAGTTTTATATTAAATTTTAGTGGAAAACTCAGTTAGCAATTTTCTGAGTTTATGTTAATGTCTTTCTTTGATTATAATTAGATTTGTATGTTAATGTGTTTGTTATTCTTAAAGCTGTGTCCAGATTTGTTATAGAAAAAAACATTAATTGAAGTTTTATTTGTGTACATGAAATCAATTAGTTTTTAAAATGGGGAAGAAATTGTTTTTCATCACAACGATACAAAATAAAATTGAAATATACTTACTATACAATCAAACAAAAATTTATAAATAATACATTACATAAAATCATTATATGTAATATATTATACTGTATAATAATAATAGAATTTTCAACAAATAAATAAAAAATATAAAATTAATATTATACAAGGAATGGAAAGGTGAATAAAATCAGTATAATAAGGAAACATTATTATTTTCATTTCATTTGTATATGCTATGGCGAGAAGGTTTCAGTGGAGAAAATCTTATGAATTTAATTTTCGAATGAACTGTTTTTATGGTATGTTAAACATTGAAAAATAATACATAAATTGTAAAATTCTGGTTTTTATTAATAAATTATTTTTTCTAATTAAAGTTGGAATTTGTATTATTTTCAACGCGTGAATGCATAACATTACTTTTCGAGCATCATTCTACAATAATAAACTCACAGACTGGACAATAAAGATTATAACTTTTATATACCATTTTTTACTGCATTAATGTCTAGAATACATAACAAATTCGAATGAAAAGAAAAAAGTCTTACCTTTCCTTTGTTTTGCTTCTTGTTAATTTTTTGAGCACAAGAAGTTTTTAAAATGAATCCATGTCTCTTTGGAAAGTGGATTATAAAATTTGAGAATGATACTTCTTCCTAGAATAATTTAAGAATTTAAATATTAAGAATAGAAAAGATTGAGATGATTCATTAGATTAGCTAATTAATTAATTTAATATTAAAATAATTTTTTAGTACAGGACATTTATCGCTTCATTCAAAAGAATATAAGACAATATGCAAGCGAATATCATTTATAATCTGATAATTTAATTCGATGCTAAGTGGAAACAACCTTAAATATTTTAAGTAAAAATTTAAGACTTTTACATTTAATATTCTATCGACAATTATTCAATTTTGATCGCTTATAAATAAAAAACGTTACATTGCCTGCGTTATTCGGGTTTATGTAATTAAACATTTACGAAAAATCTCGAAATGGAGGGAAAAATAACTCGCAATTTCCAGAAAACTTTCTATTTCAAGATGGCGTCGGCAATACGAAATCGAACGAATTCGAATCGGTGGAACGTGCGATAAATGCGTCACACGTTACGTCATACCTTCTACGTCAGAATATTAACTAATTGCAAATGTTTTCTTTAAAATGCCAAAATAGTCCTCTTTATTTGTAAAATATCGCTAAGATATTTGTAGTAATAAATAAAATTATAAAAACGCATTCCGTAACCTTACAGGTTACAGGCCGCAAATCTAGGTTTAAAGCGTATCTAATTTAAATTATTTAATTTTGATATAAATCGAAAAATATTAAGTTACCTACGTTACGCGAGTTTTCATTATTAAAATTTGTACGAAAAATGTTAAAATGGAGGGAAAAAGAACTCGCAATTTCCGGAAAGCATAAATTTCCAAGATGGCGTCGGCAACAATACGAAATGGAACGAATTCGAATTTGTCGTTGCAATGCGTCACGCGTTACGTCACGAGTTTTACGTCATAGATGTAATATTTCGAGTATTTTAATTGCATTTTTTAAAGGAAAGTTTATTTTTAACAAATTCTTTTCTCTCGGATTTGGCAGAATATTTGTTAAATGTAAAACTTCGCTAAAAAGAAAATTTACTCAGATTACATTACAAGTGGTTGGGGTTTGATTGGAAACAATTGCTTCCACCATTGTAAGATCGGGAATTTACAACATATTTCATACAACTGAAAGTTTTAATTTATATTGCCACAATATTTTCTTAACTGTGAAAGAATGAGTAGTTGCACTTCCTTCTTGCGGATTGATTGTGTAATTTACATAATAAACACATTTCTATTTCCAAAAGATCTGTCAGATTATCTATTGGGCTATGTTGAGCCTGATAATTAATTAGATAACAAATAAGTTTGGCTACAGATAGATGGTTTAGCTGCTCTTCCGAAAATTTAATAATTAAAATTAAGTCAGTCGAATCATGCTCGACATTCCAAACACCATTGTCAAACTTCTAGGCTTACAGGAAAGTGGTGCTGAATGTCCGACGTACACGTCTTCGCGTTTAAAACTTCGGCCTCAACCTCACTATTGAGATATGGCATATAAAATGCGAGTTTTAGATGAAAATAAGCTAAAAAAATTGTTTTGTCTTGTATGTGATAATAGGTTTGGTTCGTTAATTGTGAAGTAAGCCAATACAGCATATAGGCGGTATGTTAAGGAGCATCTCTTTGGACGTGTTTTTGTGATATATTGGGTCTAATTTAAGTGTTACAGACAAGAGATATAAACCAGAAAACTGAACGCAGTCAGCCTGTTTGTGAGGTGTGAGCCTGGGACCGAATACCAGTTTTCGGTGTATTGAACTCTTTTTATTCACTATACTTGCGATTTCTCATACTCTAATGAATTTCCAAATAGACTTCAGTAAGCTGTAAGTACAGTAGAGCGTCGTTTATCCGAAAGTCGGTTATCCGAAACGTCGGCTATCCGAAAGAATTCCAGTCGTCAAATTTAAATTTTTGCTAGTCTGTGGCGCTGCAATCTTTGGCTATATCTTGGGCTACTCCAATATTTTTTTTGTTGATGAATGTGTTTTAGCTTGCAGCACTGGCAGCACTTTTGTGTGGTGTTTTTCTGAGGACTGTGTGTGGTACTGAATCGAACGTTTTTAATACTAGATTAACTTCTAAAGTAGAGACTAATTGTTTTTGTTTTTATATTTTTAATATAGACCATTTATTTTGTAAAAAATAAAGAAATAATTTTTAACGATACAGTAGCCACGATTATTATTTTAAAAAGTTTATGTTAGGCTTAACATCGACGAAAATTCAACGCAAAGCGACACGCAGCAGAAAAAAATTTTAACATTGGATAGGTTAATATATTTTTTCGTACGTAATCGGTTATCCGAAAACAGGTTATCCGAACAACCCCAGTCTCCAATTGATTCGGATAAACGACGCTCTACTGTAATTTTGAATTAAAATGTTATTGTTGATTTACATTATTATTAGGATTATGTTTGCGATAACTAAGCAGCTTTTGCACGAATTCGTGGTTGATATTTTAGCGGTAAATTTTAATTTTAAATTCCTTTTTTTTTGCTGATATAAAACTAAAATTAAAATGAACAATTAAAATGAACACTTACCAGAGTATCGTATTAAAATTTTTGAGAACGAGAGCCAAGCATATCGTATTTAATTAAATACACAAAATTGTTTTGTCCCTAAGTATTATGTGTTGAAACGGAAATATGTTTTATTGTTTTGTACATCGGTGATGTTATATTCAATAAAATCCGGTAATTTGCTTTAACTTACTGAGTTATATACGTATATATGTACGTGCATGTACAGGTTTTTCTATTAAATCGAGGACTGAAATAAGCAAAGAAAAAGTTTGAATTATGTTTTATTCTCCTGTACATAAATTATTTCATATACATACAATAATGTTTTAATTGGCATCTAAATGAAATCTTTGGTAAGCTACCAATGTTTTTCTTTAAAATTTAATAATGGATTACAGACATTTAATTTTCTATCAACAATGGAAATGAATAGCTCGATGAAGAACTGTACTGCCATTAAACCATTCAAAAATAATGAGAGGTGCAATGTTTTTGATCTGAACTTTTTACCTACTCTCAATCTCATGATTAATACAAATTTTCACTTTTGTAGTGATATATTATATATGATAACTTACGAATCATTTTCTGATAAGGATTGTTAATTGTATAAAATTGCATTCGCTGTCGATATCCTTCGTATGTGTTTTTCTCAATGCAACTATAAAATACAAAACATAAATCTATTTTCGCATCGAAGTGCAATTTTTAAATTAAGTACGAATGAATAGAAAACGGTGGCAGTATACGCTTAATCATATTTTAAAGAATTGAATTAAAACGTACAGTACTGTACATTTTAGTAATGTCTGCATATGTATTAAGATGCGTATTATGAGATTTTTGTCAGAATATATTGAACTATTATCTGTACTAAACGAAATAAAATCCATAAAAACAAAGTCTTTCAAAATTTCGCGTACAGTACTATTGAAGACATCGGTAAAGAAAGCAGATAATTCTCTCATAAAGTTTACAACACTAAAGGGTAATATCTTCTTACAGTTTTGAATTACCTTTTTTATCTTCTCATTGCACATTTATTTGACTTATTTTCATTTATGGCTAAATGATTCAACGCACATGAATAAGGTATACATGTGTGTAGTATATTGTTTTACAGTTTCATCCTCCCGGAATTTTACTCTGAAAACTTGAAAATTTCTATCTTTCACGTGGAAATGTGAGGGCCGTAGAAGCGCGTCGAAATTACTACTAATTACTAGACTTTTACGTCAGAAAATTTGGAAGATAGAATCGGGTCAAGAGGGTGCGTTAATGACAGAACCTAGATGACACGAAAACTTTTTCGAATTGTAAAACAAACGCGAAGCGACGATAAACAACAGGAGGGAATATCGACAGAGAGGCTTTGTCGAGATGCGCGCGAACAAATGTCGGGTCGAAGCAATCGGGTGAAAGGGGGGTTTGAGAACAAAAGGGACATCTGTTAAGTAAGAACGCGGTAGGGGATAAATGGCCACAAGACATCTGGTGGACCGTTTAAGTTCAGGGATGTCCGGGAGAGGGGCCATAACGGAGTAAAATACGAGCGCGAACATTAAAGGCCCCGTCATCACCTCTCGGACCTTTTCTCGACCAGATCGGTTTCAAGTTTCGCCTAGAAACAAAAGAATGACCAATCGGGGTAAGGGAGAGGGTGAACGGGACCAATCAAAAGGGTGAGATTCGGGGAAAATCTTATAAATCCCCGAATCTCAAGGACAAAACAGAGATTCTCAGCCGCTTCTCTTGGAGCCGATTCACAGCCAATTCTCGGCGGTTCCACCCGGACAAGGTTCTTCACCAGTGACCAAACTCTCAGTGCATCCGCAACATCACCAGACAGAGGCACCTGTGCAATAAACACTCTCCTGTCAAGCCTGGGACACAAGTCAGCGCCCAATCGTCGACATTAGGAGCTCCCACCAAAGCCGATCTAGATCGCATTGTTATTGTCATTATGTAAGTTAACTTTATGATAAAAATAAACGGTTTTTGTAAGACACCTTCATCTTCGTCTCCTGCTGCCACCACCCACATACGACTTGACCTTAGGTTTTCCTGACGCGTAATTAACGTATTGCCCCTAAAGTCAGCGACCTTACAGAAAGCACGTAATAGGTTTTATAAGGAGGTATCAAAGAAGACTTCTTTCCTGAAATGTTTCATGTTACACATTCTCTTTGTCTTATATCCTAATACTTTGTTAGAATTTCTAAGAAGTGAAACTGTATAGTTCTTTTGTTGAAGCTCTAGTACTAAAGTGTGACGGCATTAATCGAAATACAAAGAATGATAAGGTTGCTCGTATTTGCTTAGATGTAGTTGTTGTTTTAATTGTAGGTTTATATAAACAATCACAAATATCAGTTTTATATTTGCATATCAATATAACGCTAACAAGTAAGTGTTCTGTCTGATATCTCACATTAAACTTTCTATTTAATTTCATAATAAGACAAACAATATTACTTTATATATGTAGTTGCAGGACTTTAAATGGCAATTTACTAAGATATCCAAATCCTTATGTAACTAATATATTAGAACGAGATAAAATAATATATTAATTTGATTATTTGGTTACGAAAAATTATGAAACGGAAAGAAAGTTAAAGGTTAGATTCAATTAGCATATTTATACGATCATAAATAATTTTTAGTCAATAATAGTAATTAGTCATTGTATTCAATTTAATTGTAACATAAACAATGACTCATTAGAGATAATTAAGATTGTTCCAGAAAAAAGAAATGTAAATTGTATGAATATTTCAAAATTATTAAAATTGCAGAAGAAAATTGTTTCGATTACAATACAGGTTTCAAAATGGATGAAAATTGATTTACCATTGTTTTGATAAGAAAAAAATAGATATAGTATTAATTTGCAAGTTTTTAAAACTTAAAAAACTGTTTAGGGGATAGTAATTAATGTAATACTCGATAAATGTAATTTACGCAACTCTTATTTGTTGATTATATTCATTTACGGGTATATGCAAACACTACAGTGTCAGGGAACACTGTCGCTAATTTTACAGTATCATCATTACTGGAATATCCATAAAGATTGCGATGTATAGACATATTACATTGCGTTATAATTTTAAAATTGATTATATAATATAATATGATATACAAGTATATAATAATATGTTTAACATGATGTCGAGTAGCAATTTGAATTGGATACTGTTGTTGGAATGTCTAAAACTATAAAATTAGTTGAAAGTTTTCTGTTATTAAATAATTTACGTTTACATGTATTTTTAGTATTCACCAGTACATTGTGTTTATCATATTAGGCTGAAGAAAAAATTGAAAAGCATACTGCAATGTCAATGAGTTAATTTTGTTAATAATATAATTAATAATATTACAGTTTAAAAAATTTTACTTTAATAAAATATACAAACAAGATCTAGCTGTACAGTTTTCATATCTTGGTAACTAGACATAGGGTCTCTTTTATATTTATCCGGACACTGATCAACAGCAACTTAATAACGAAAGCAATGCATTGTTTATGTCAAATATACACAAAATATTAATTTACTAAGGTTTGATATAATACAATAAATGGTGAAAAAATATATGGTGCAGTTGCTTCATAGGTATAAAGAACATAAAGGTATCATAATAAACTGTTTCAAATTTATCTAGAAAGAGTGCTGTATCTCTGCTTTCCACACAAATTTATCGTCCAATATTGCCACCGTGTTGCTAAATAATGTCAAACACTGTCTTGCATCATTCTTATAAAAGTTGCAAATACTCAGGCTTTAATTTATACCAAGATCTGCAATTGTAGATTTGAACGTAGTAATGCTTTGAAACTGCTTCCATTTTTTGTAAGATTCTCTTGACAGCATAGTCCAAATACTTTTCTTGAGGTATGATCTGGACTTCTGGCAGGCCAGTTCATAACTTTTATATTATTGTTTTTGAACCATGATTTTGTAGTTGCGCATGGATGCATTGTCCTACTGGAAAGTCCAATTTTAGACATAAATAATAAGTCCAGCTTCCACTAAATGGTCATGGACTTGGGTCTTGTCTTCCTTTCTAAAATGTCCTTCCTCTGTCGTCTTTATAAGTAATCACATACAGTTGATTTTGGTCTGCAGCAATCGAGTGCAGCGATTTTCCTTATTCATTTTCCTGATAACTTCTATATTGTACATAAATTCATCTCTATTTATAAAGGGATAAAATTTTTGTTTCTTTTCATTTTTAAAACTGCAGTTCACACATTCCTAGGGTGGTTGCCCCAAATTTCTACTTTACTTACATAATAACGTATTTTACTTTATATCGTGGAAAAGTAATAAGTGTTTGGACAAATTTGAAATAGTTAATTTTGATACACTTCTGGCTTTGATATCTGTAAAGCAACAAATACCATATATTGATCGCGGTATTTGCTTGCTACAACGCAATTTTTATCGTGTCGCGTTGTCGCTCAAAACATAGCATGCCATAAATATAAAAATCTAGTAGCGAGTTGCTTAACTTTCTTGTCAACATTTGAAACTGCGTGTGCCACCATCTGTTATGGTATTTTGTTATTAAAATCTTTTTATATTTTTAATTATTATAAAATAGCAATGAGCTTATTTTTGAGGGTAAGAATGGATTTTATGATAAATTATAAATGCTAGTAACTAGTAAAATCGTTATTAAGTCTGACTTACTGGAGATACACAGACCCTTTTTATCTCCCTATCCTCTCAATTTTTAACCACCAAAATTTAACAGCATCGATCACACTAACACACAAATCTCCCTGCAAAATTTTAGACCAAAAGCACAGAAGTTATTAAGCTTGGAAGAGGGTAAACGTAATCTTGCCATTCACACACTAACATCCATACATACAGAAAGAACTCCAGAATTTTCTTGCATTTCTCGATGTTTCAAATTTCCCCGAGTCCAAAAATATAAAAATCTTGGGGTTCATTATTGACCGATCGCCATACTTTCCCCCTTTTATATGTAATGGAACCGGGAAATAAAAATGTAGCTTTTTATATTCATTAATAATGCAAATACAAGTTTCATGTTAATGAATTTAATTCTTCACCATCCTTCAAATATTGTGTTTTAGTGGAATATCTATTATTTCTATAAATCACACCAGTGCTTTCAGAGATATTAAGAACAGTTTACGGGTATTCCTCCTTCATATATGAGCAGTCGATTTGGCTCTATGAATAAGGCTTATTCATTAAAACCTGTATATAACGAAATCGCACAGCTTCAAGTATTTCAGAATTGTCAGAATGTCGTTTTGAATAGGTTTTTTTTAAAAACGGATTTTTTAACAATCCGTATTATTCAGATTTTGTTTGGGAAAATTTTAGTATAAAAGTAGGAAATGTCTAATTATGTTATATGCTAATACCCCACATTTCATTGTGCCGATAAACATCCATTAACATTCCTTTCTATATTAACAAAAAAAATAAGTATGAAACATAATAAATCGATGGATCGATCGATGTATGAAACTTTATATAGTAAAAAATTTTCAATCTCTTGCGTACAGGAACATGTACTCCAGCAGAAAAGGCGAATTTTGCTTCAGTTGTTTTATAAGACCCTGTTGGACCGTAGCGATCGTGTACGGTTTGGAACCTTACATAACATGCAACTGCGATGGAAAGAAACACAGTTATCCATATAAATTATTGAAAAAAATATATTTCAGTTTTGTTGAATTTGTTTTATGGAAACGTTTCATTCTCTTGTTGTGGCACCTCATTCGTGGTTTGAATGAAACAGCCATTTGCAATGCTTGGGGAGGTTTGATCAGAAGTAATTCGTTTGTAATGAAACTTGTATTAACTATTGTATTCTTTGCTTACGCATCAGTTTTCAGTTTTCTGAAAGCCAAAAAAATCGATCTTAGTCGTCCTTTAAGAAATCGTACATTTTTTTACGAAAAAACAATACATAAAAAGTACGCCATGGTTAACATTCTTTCTTATTTTATTTCTTCTGTTGTCTTTGTCATGATGATTTGCTTTCAAATCGTGAACGTGACACTGTATTACCCAGCTTTTCAAAAACATCAACATTTCGAAGGAGAAGCATTGTTTTGTAGAGTAGAAATTGGAATGGCAATCGATTATCTCATCGGTGGAGCTGCGTATGGTTTTACACTTGTAATGTTAATGTGGTTTGTCATGGATAAAGAATTGAGACATTTGTCAGAAGAATTGTATTTAATAAGAAGGAACGAACATAATCTGCAGCTGAAGCTTGAACAATTCTTTATGCATCACGAGGACTTTTGGAATTTCGTAAAACAATGCAATGACGATTTTAATTACCCTTTTGCCGCTGCTTATATGGGCATTATATCTGGAACTAGATTTTGCTATTACGTTTTGTTATTTCTAGATATTAATGAAATATTAAAGCTTGTAATTTTAGGGTTGACTGTTATATTTACGTTTCTTTGCATAACCGGTGGCTGTTTGTTATGCTGGTTTGCATTTACAGTAAGCGTACAATCTAATATTGAATTATTACGTGTGGTATTTTTAGTTAGTTATATTTATTATTTTTCAGATGGAAAATACTTTCCAAGACATCCGAAGATTTGCGGATTGCAAACTAAAATTAGAACAAAAAATAACGGTATGTATTCTATAACAACTTTTAAAGAATAAAATTTTTGTTTAGTATTGTTTTAATTGATCTTATTATTTTAGGTTCTGAATTTCATGAAAAGATTTGGGAAAGTCTCACTGAGACTTAGTATTGGCGATTTTTATAAAGTTACGAAGAGAATTCCTGTGAAAGTATTTACATTTTCTGCTATTTATTTATAATCAATTTTCATAATTAAACGGTAGTTAGCACTTTGCATTATGTATTTTCAAGTCTTATGAAACTAAAAACTGTGACCCACGAGAGAAAAGAATGTATTCAATTTCCGTTTACTAATTCTACAAATGTTTTATAATATTTTATTGTCGATATAATTGTTTATATTATAAAAAAAAATTTTTTTTAAACATTGAGTTATATACTAATTAATTTTTGTACTTCAGAATGTATCAAACGCATACTACTAACGGTATTATTTTTGTTTTCAGATTGTTAGCACTTTGCATTATGTATTTTCAAGTCTTATGAAACTAAAAACTGTGACCCACGAGAGAAAAGAATGTATTCAATTTCCGTTTACTAATTCTACAAATGTTTTATAATATTTTATTGTCGATATAATTGTTTATATTATAACACTGTTAAAGAATAATAAATGATTTAAATTTGTATGATACATCACAATAAAGAGAAATTTAAATACTTAATGTATTTTCAGATTATTTCTTTTCCATCATAAGCTTAAACATTTTTGTAGGATATCTCTTAATATTATTAAAAATAAGGTAGAGTGTGTTTAATCCGACAACAATGGAATCAGAGTAGGGTCGGATTATCGAAAATTCAAAATTATCTCTTATTTTTTAAACGTTGCAGACATTGCTGTACATTTTCTACCAGAGCATGCTGTTGCGTGTTTTCGAGTTTCTTACGCGAATTCTCAATACAGTCAAACCTAGAGTTTCGAACTTTTTTAAAACTCTGTTTGCTCCGTGGGCACTGAAACGACCCTTTTATAGCAATCCCATTATGGGTTTGGCCAGGCCCACAACGAGATGGCTGGGTGGTGAGAAACGGGGCCGAAATATCCGGACAGACCACTCCCGAAAAATTCCTCGGGCGTTTTCGACCAATTTGGATTTGTTTCCGGGTTCCTAGAACGGTAGGCTGCCACCTAGACCGCTCGGCCCTCAGGCCGTTACATCTCGCTTTGAAAACAATTCGGTTTACGAACAAAATTTTGAATTTATGTTTACCTCGATTTCCAAACAAGCTACTTGGCAGAGCTTCTGCCATTGGTCAACTTCCTATATTTTTTATGTTAAAGAAAGTAAACAGCAATCAATGACAGGACCATTAATTCAGAATTTGGTGGCCCTGAGATCTCATCGCGTCACGGTACGAATCATCAATGACGTTGCTATTTAAATTACATTTCAATACGCATGTCAGAATCCAGTCTCTATTTATAGTAGTTTTTTGTAAGGTGTTTGTTTTGGTCGATTGGCGTTGCTTTTAATATATATGTTACCGGCAAAGTTTGAAATCCGGCATTCTATAGAATGCCTAGGCATTGTATATAATGCCTAAAACTAGCCGGCAATCTATGAAACGATTTATATTTTACAGATTTCCTAGGCATTCTATAGAATGCCAAATGAGAAACCGGCAAAGTATGAAATACATCTCCGTTTCGTTTCAAATATCATGTGGCAAGGCACGTGACTTTTAACGAGCGGCTCAGGCTTAGAATTTGTCAGTTGCACTTTGCGGTTTGTTCGGGAGTGTCAAAATACGCAATTTTACTTAAATTTGTTCAACAAAAAATTAGTTTTTTACTGTGGTCCATGAAAATGGAGGAGCAAGCTGTAGTGTTGGAGAAGGTGTCATGGTCTATAGACATGAAACAACGATTCGACGATGAACTGTGCAAAATTCGAGTTAATGCTGCAAAAAACAGTATTTTCTTAACCGAAACTACTTACCAGAAGTTAATAAATGATGTACAAAAAGCCAAAATGACTACTAAGAAGGAA